TACGGGATCTCAGTAGAAAGGTATTGTCACACTGTTTTTATTTCTGTCCAAAAAAAACGTTCATTTCCTTTTTTTTCAAATACCAACACATTTTAATTCAACTTTGAATGACGTTCGTTACCTTTCTCTTTCATCCTTTGAATGAGTTTATTAGCAAAGAAATAAAAAGGGTGAGAAAATACCTTTCCACCGACACCTCTTAAGTCTAAATCAGAAGAGTTTAGGCTCAGTTATTCAAGTTTTTCTTATACCAATCTTTGAGAACAGTTAAAAAACAGATCCAAAAATCTCATCATTACGATTCCGTTCAAAATTTTTTTTTAATTTTTGTTTAAATATTTTTGTGCAAATTTTTTAAGCTTAAACCGTTTTGTCATTTGAGGGGATTTAAAAAAAAAATTAAGAAACTATTTTTATTCATAAAAAACTCCATTTTTGGAAGTATTTTGAAATTGGTCCAGCTCACTTAAATCTTAATATTTTTTCGAAATATTTTGGTGGACGTCTTAAAATATAATAGATTTTATAATTCCAATGGAAAAATAGTACCAATTTGTTGTTGTATGGGGAGTGATGCAGTCTAATATACATATGCACATAGGTATTAATCTAAACTGAGTTTAAAGCCGAGAATACCAAAAACCTACTTTTTTACGACATCATTATATAAAAGTAGTCAGTTGAAATTATGGATGTGCCGGATAGAGATTTTGTCGGATAACCGGATTCCGGATACCATGTCGTGGGCATTCAACTAACCACGATGGTGGCTAACGGACCTCGGATTCGCATTCAGCGTGTCGAATAACATAGGGCTAAATTGGTTTGGTTTAATATGCATACATTTATTTTTTTTGTAAGCCTGTGTAATCAATAATTTTTGTACTTTTATAAAGTTTTATTTGCAACATAATGCCCATTACCGTCTGAATTTTTTTTTATCCGCCGTAGTGAATACATGGAAACGAAGAGTGAACCGGTTCAGAGAAAATGAAACTCATAATAAGGCTGAACTAGGGATGGGTAAATTCGATATTCGAAGCTTCGATATTCGAATTTTAATCGAATTTTAGCTCCAAAATGGCGAATTTTTGAAATCGAACTTTGTGTTGCTAAAATTCGGATAAAATCGAATTTTTCCGGAAAAAGTCGAATTTCATCTTTATGTCAAAAAAAATCAACTCTTCACCTTTCTTCTTTCTGACTAAATTTGCCATCACTGTGTGCGGCACTCCATTTGTCTTAGGGATTCAAGTAAAAAAATACATG